TTCAACTTTGATGAGAATCACTCACTCTGATGTCCATACGAGGCAAAGTATACCTCTCGAGTGAGGCTGACTGTGACTTAAAAGATGGGAGAGAAAGCAGAATGGACCAGACCTCGGCACTTGGCTCTACAAGGCTGTCAAGGTGTATGCCAGGTTATTCATTATGCCGCCATATTTAATTTATCTGCTCTAGTTTTGATTAGACCTGGTTAAAATCAGATTCATGAACGTTCATTTTATATTTGAATCTTTAAAGTATTTACCATCAATACCGGAGAAGCAAAATAAAAATAACATGACAGAGCCCCAAGTGATCCTATTTTATATCTTAGCTGTGATTTATAGAAGAAAGAAAATATATAATATGCATGAAACAAAACCTACATATGAAGTTCTAATTAATAAGAATGGTGGTTTATGTGTGTGATTTGCCAGGGACTATCCTAAGTGATTTTTTTTTAACAAGTTAACTCATTTAATTTGCATACGACCCCTGAGGTAGATACATTCACCATTTAACAGCCCGGGACACAAGGTTAAGCAACTCGTCCATGGGTGGGAGCTGGCTATGATAAGCGGGTCTTGAACACATAGCTGGGCAAACTCGCCATGCTTCCAGCTACTATGTCCTCCACTCTCCAAGGAGCTGCAGTTTGAAGTGCCCGACTTCAAACCCTCTTTACTGACATTCTCACCACAGCGCTTTTTAACTACGTCCTGAAGCAGAATGGCACATGTTATGATCCGAACCCCAAAACGAAGGAAAGGAGAAGTGGGGGGGAGAAAGGGGAGGAAGCAAACTCAAGTCCATGTAAGTGGGAACAGACAAAACCCTTAAATAGATGGGTGGTAGAAAGATAGAGACACTGATAGATAATAGGTAGGTGAGTAGATGATAGATTGATGGTAAGTAGGGAAAATTGATAATAGATAATAAACATAGATTGATAAATAGGTAGGGAAATAAATAACAGATAGATGATAGGCAGGCAGATAATTGATTGATAGGTAAAGAACTCACTCACGGTCAAACTGCAAGTCCAAGAAGATAATTTAACAGTGTAAAGAACCGCTATGATTATGGAGTTTAAAGCCTAAATTTATTAACACGGACATCCTCAGTATTTCACTTTGTCCACTGAAATGATTCAAGATTAAAAGGAAGGGCAGTCCATATGGTGAGAGCAATTTTGGAAAATTTTATTAAAGCCAAGTCATATTTTTAGTGAAACACATCCCTGGAATGAAGAACCAGGGTTCTGCATTAGGTAAGATATTAAGCACCTCTTAGAAGCCCCAGCTGAACAGGGGAGGGGACACTGAGGTCAGGAAGTCCTCAGCTAATGTACCTGGAGACAATGACAGGTAAAAGAAAGGCTCTGAAGTTCAGTCAGAAAGTCCAAGTTGAAGTCTTATTTAAGGTTCTTTACGTTGCAAGTTATAAATTTATAGTCACAAGTGGGTGTTCAAAGATGCAACTCTCCATTTGGTTGTAAGTCCCTTAATTAAGGATTGATAAGTAAGCCATGCTTATTTGTAATCCACCTGGCACTAAATGTGAAAGTTTTTTTCCTTAGTAATTATCAGTTCTCCAGACACCAAAACAATGCCCTAAAATTCAATTACAGTTTGACTCTGACCAGCAATAGTGTGGAAACCACAGGCTCCTGGCTTGGACCAACAGATTATCTCTACTTCATACACCAACTGCAAGTCTCCAGCTGCCATATGCATGTCTGAGTCATGTTACAAACGAGTGGTGTCCACAGTCTCTTTCATGCCTGAAATTTGTCAGAACAGTTCACAGGATGCAGGAAAGCCCTTAACCACAGATGGCCTTCTAGAAAGATAGAGCTCAGGCACAGACTACAGAAAGAGCTGCATGAGCTGGCGAGTGAGATGGGGAGTACCAGCTCAGATGTTCCAGGTTTTCTCTGGCTACATTACTGTCCACCACTAAGGCATGCCACCAACCCAGAAGCTCCTCAAAACCTGGTTTCATTATGTAGTCTTGACTGATGACTAGGGTCATCAGAAGTTGGGCACAGGCTGAAAATCTTGACCATGGAGCTATGTCCCGGTCCTTCTGAAGGCCAGTTCTCATCTCTACAGAGGACCAAAAGTTTTATGTACTGACCCTATACATTCTTTCCAAATTTACTGATTGAGAAGAGTAGTTGTAGACTTTTAAAAACAATTGACAATTATATACATGATAGCATGAATGACAATTATACTTTCTATTTTGAGAGTATTTTTTCTTTCTTTTTCTTGACACATTCCTCTGGTCCAGATTCTTGCTCCAACAAGGGAAGCCAGGATGGGAGATACTTTTGTTTTTTTCCACATCTTAGAGACAGGTGGTCCTAAGCCAGATTAAGGCAGTTCCTAATTTACTCATAATTTCAGTTAAGAATAGATATTGAATTTTATTTAAAAATGTTCTGTATCTATTTGAAGTGTCCTGCAAAATATGGCTCTTGGTAAGGAAAATTTTATTGAAACACAATTCTATCCCTTTTATGTGTTTTCTTCTGGTTGCCTTCTTACTAGACTAGCATTGGGATGGTTGTAGCAGAGACCCCAGGATATGCAGAGGCAAGGTATATCCTCAGTCACTTGACTAAGAGAACCATTTCCCCTCCTTGTAAATACATGTTACACTGGTTTGTGTATGTGCATGTGTGCTGTATGTATGTGTGCATGTGCATGTGTGTTAAGTCAGCCTTGCATTCCAAGAAATATGAAGTCATATGAATGTTTTTAAATATCATCTTTACCTCTGCAAGTTAAATGTATACATTGAACAATGTCCAAATCAAGCTATTGAACATACATACTATTTCATGTACAAATCCCAGTGCCATGGTTATGCTGCCTTCATTCAATGTATTTGAGGATGTTGTTTCAGGGACAGAGTTTGCCAAGGCCAATCTTTAAATTCCATGGCTCCCTTGGAGTTGCAGGTGGCTGTAAGCAGCCTGACATTGGTGTTATGAACCAAACTTGGGTCCTCTGCAGGAGCAAGTACCTCTTGAGGATGTCCTGGGTCTTCTCTCCAGCCACCACTCTTCTCTTCAAAATATGTAAGATCAGCACTAAAGCCACGTATTCTCGAGTTTTGTTAGGTTTCTAATCAGAAACTTCCTTCTTAGGTAGACACAGGAACCCAAGTGCTGTAACTTGAATGTTGTGATGTCCCACAAATGATTGTATGTTAAAAGTGTTGGGGAGGTGACAGACCTTTTAATCCGTGAGCTTCATTGTTGAGGAATGTCCTCCAAGGTGACTGTGGGACTCTGATCTTCTTTCTGTCCCAATGTGCTGAGTCCCCACAGGCTTAAAATAACCAGCCCAGTTCATCACGGGCTGTCTTACAGGCTGATTTTCACAGGTGCTTGTTACAGAAACAAAAAGCTAATTACTTTCTATATTTTTTACTTTTGTTTTGGTGACTTGCATTTTTTTAGGGAATCTTTCTGAATCATCTAATATATAAAGTGATGAACATAAGAATGTTTTTCTAATGATTTTTTATGCATTTGCAGGGTATGTAGTGACATTTTGCATTTTTCTAATAGTGAAAATTTGCTTTAACTATTGTGAACTTTATTAACTGCGCACATATTAAGAAGCCATGCTCTCTCTCAGTGACTCTTAAATTCCTGGGAAAATAGCTCCAGTAGGATTTCACTTGAATTGCTTATTACAATTACATTTTATACAAATACTGACACCAGGCAGATTTGGTGACACACACCTGTTATCCTATGACTAGGGAGGCTGAGACTGGAGCATGACCAGTTTAAGCTCTTTCCATCCACTCTCCATTACAAGAACCACAGCAAACCCCTTGAATGTCCTGTGAACGTGAGAGCTTGTGTGGTGTCACCACCCAGGTCAATGAGATGGAAACTGAGTCTTTAAGATGCACTTTAAGTTAGTCTGTTTTCTCAGATTGTGGGATTAATGGGTTAGAAAAGGTCCCTCACTAACACCAGTGATATCTAAAAAGTGGAAACTGCATTGAGGTGTTTACAACATGCCTCACCCTTACCTAAAGGTCTAAGACTATCTATCCAGCAAGGCTTGGGGATGTGACTGACCTCTAAAATGGCACTGTCAGCCCTCTGTCCCAGAGAACCACTCATATAGGAAGCCCAACCCCAACTTCAGAAGGGGCTCACAGTAGAACACACTTCTTAGAAGGTGGGTCATCTAGAGCGAGTGCTGGGATTCCATTGAGCTCACACAGCTGGTTGCTGGAAGCTTATGCCTCATTGTTCACGGTTTTAATAAAAATCTGTGTGGTTGCATTTCATTATCACCAGCCAATAAGGCTGTGGGGAACATCTGGTAACAGAGAAAACCAGATCTAACACCTCACAGGAACCACAAGGAACCTGCACGTCCTGTGCAGAGACCTAGATTTGACTGTTTTTAACAGAACTACAGCTAACTGTTCGGCAAATTTTGCCTTTTGGATCTGTCAGTTTGCAGTCATGCCCTGTACAGCAGATGGGCAGGAGGGCACCTCACCTACACCGAGGGACGCTGTTCTTTCTGCCTTCCTGTTTGGCCTGTCTACTGTGGCTGACGCATACAACCCCCAAATGTCAGAGGGTACTTAACAGGATTTGGCAGTGTTTCCTAACCCCCATTTTATTTCCTGCACATAAAATACGCAGTAGTGAGAACACACTATGGAAGACAAGGAAGCAGAGCAAAACGCCACAAATCCTCACCAAGGTGGAGATTATCAAAACGCCACAAATCCTCACCCAGGTGGAGATTATCAAAAAGCCACAAATCCTCACCAAGGTGGAGATTATCAAAACGCCACAAATCCTCACCCAGGTGAAGATTATCAAAAAGCCACAAATCCTCACCAAGGTGGAGATTATCGTACTACTTTTTCCAGATCTTTAATTCTCATGACTGAGGAGCACTTCACCAGGTATGGGTTTGTTTTAAATGTCGAACAATTAAACAAGACAATATACCAGACGGAGGAAGTTTTATTATACCTGCCATAGTTATAGTCAGTTGACAGGTCTAGAATCACGTTGGAGACACGTCTCTGGACAAGCCTGGTGGAAAGACCCACACTCAATGTTGGCAGACCCACGCCATGGGTGGCGTTCTAGTGTATGAAAAGGAGAAAGCTAGCTAGGCACAGGCAGTCTTCTTCTCCTTGACTGTGGATGTGACGTGACCGCTGCCACCAGCTTCTGCCACCATGACCTCCCAACCATCGTGGACTGCACAGCGGAACCCTGAGCTTCAACACCCCCTCCTGAAGTTGCTTCGTCCCAGCAACAACATGCATAACCAATGCAGAAGCCTTTCACATACTTTACTTTCATAACTTTCATAGAATTTTGGGATCAGAAATCTAACTGTAGTATTTTAAGGCTTGACAGTATTTTAAGGTGGTGCACAGAATAAAATCAGTATTGGAAAAACCATCTCTATTAGTGAGGAGCAGAGATGAAAGGCGCCCATGAGAAGAACAGTGTAACAAGACTGGAATGTGCTCATGGTGTCTTCTGTGAGGGGATGTAAATGCCCCTGCGCTACAGAATTGTGACATTACAAAACGTCAGGATGAAAAAGGCAGAGGAGGATTTCAAATATATTTCTAGTAGCATAAAAATCTTTATAAGGATTACCTCAAAATTAAAATATTTTATCAGAAATATAATTTTGATAATAAATCACAAATAATTATATAAACATCCAAAAAATATGGCTTACACATGATTTAAATATTACTGCTATGAATATTCTTTGTGTATACTTCACAGAAAGATAATATGTCCACAAGTTTTCCATAATGTGCACAGGCACAGGTGAGCCATCGACTACCTGTCCTCCGGGGTGGGGGGTGGTGCTCGGGGCATGTGCAATTCAAGCTGCCTCTGCACCACCACACAGCTCGGCCCTTGGTGGGCGGGGCCCAGGCGAGGAGTGGGAGACCTCCTGTGAGGTTGCTCCAGACTCAGAGATTGTTCTCCACACAAACTCTTCCAAGAAATTTTCGAAAAATTTTAAAGTCAGCTTCAGTAAAATTGTCTTTTGGCATTTTCAGAGGGAAAAAAAATGTCCTCCTTCCAGTTTATGACCAAATATCCTGAAGATAGCGCTTCTCTTGCTTGAACGCTGCCAGTGTTTTCACTGCTTCCAGTCTGTCAACGCCAGCCTCTCTGCTTATGATTTCCACCAGGGCGTCATTCACATCTTTAGCCATGTTCTTGGCATCTCTAGAAAACAAAATAGCATGCTTTACAAAACAGGAATTTGTTTAAAACAAATCCTCTTTATTAATGAACCACACACTCGGTTCCCTCTGACCCTGCCCTCTTTGCCATGTCCTCATTTCTCAGAATGTTTCCCACAGATAGCCAGCTTCCCTCACCCGAGGCCAAGTCACCACCTCCCTAGAGCAGCCCTGGGAGGGAAGCTCGGCTCTGGCTCACCTGCCTGGCCCCTTCCCTCTCCCGGCAGCACACAGACCTGCATGCTCTCATCCTCCCAAGCCTCAGTGCACAGCAAGTGACAGACCCCCTCACTGAGGACAGGTCTTGGCTCCTGAAGGCAGGGGAGGCACCACCCCGTGGGTCACACCCCGTGTGTCACCGTCCCTTGCTAACTCCATGTTAAGCACCTTCTGGAGCTTTCCCACAGTGGCTGCTGAGGTCAGGGAGTGGACCTCACTTCTTGTATCTCCCAATGCCTGAACAGTGTAATGCACTCAGCATGTGCTCCAGAGCTGGGATGAAGACTGTAAGACAGGACGGAGGTGTCTGGAACACAGCCTGGCCTGTCACGGTTCACCCCTGGGAGGCAAACTATCATCTTTCTCATTCCTCATCTTTGCCTCAACCACTGCAGGGCATCGATCCCCATGGCCTGATCCCCTGCCAATCTCCAGGTCCTCTCTCCTCCACCTCACTTGACTCGCCAGCTGGCTTTGGACAGTTCTTCCTCCTCGGTGTCCTGTGCTCCCGCCTGCCCACTCCATTTGATTAGTGAGGGGACTCTGAACCTTCATCTCTGAAGTCACCAGTGCTCTCTAGGAAAGTTAAGACTCAGGGACTGGGAGGGGCTATGGCAGGAGTCCGGAGATATCCGGGACATCTCCATGTTCTCAACCACCAGTTACTGGCACATCTGTGTACTTAGCTGCTTCTGCTATTCAGAGGTCAAACACTGCAGTCTCACTGTGACCAAAATGCAACCACAGAGATCAAGAACTTCAACAAAAGCTAATGGAAACATAAACCAACACAGCATGTGGATTCTGCAGTGCTCTTCAGCTGAGAGCCAGAAACTGCCAGGGTCATGAAATCATCTCGACAGCCAAAAATACCCTTGAAAACTCAATCACAGCCAGGGTTTCATCTCTGGCCTCACAGTTAAAGGCCAGAGAAAAGCTTGGCTGACTGAAGACAGTAAATGCTCAGGTGTTTCAGGAGAAAAGCAAAATTTCTTATTTCAAAATTTCCTTTTATCTAGATGAAAGTTTTAGAGGTAAGTTTTAAAATTTGTATTTTTTCCACATGGTGCCTTTGAGTTTCTGTGAGAGATACTGCCACAGAACATACACAAAGCTTAGTTATATAAGAGTGACTGGGTGTGCGCCACCACCACCCGGTGTGATTAAGGTTTTAACAGGAATTTTCAGATGCTAAAAATATGTATCTAAAGTAAAGCACTCACCATTGCTTCCCTGAAAGGAAATTCTGGCTATTAAGTGTCTGCTAGAATTACTCACTGTGTGCTTATGTATGAGGTATGTGAAAACCTAATGACTCCTACACTCCTGACTGGACCCTCAATCATCTCAACCACAGCCACCGTGTTTCCCTGTCTGGCCACATACCCACACACGTAAATGTGGCCCTTCTCCTGAAGGAGGATCCTGGCCACCTGCTGGCTGTGACGGTGGAGGTTGTCTTGCACATACTTTGCTGGGGCCTCCTCCTCTGGTGGGGCATCTCTGGAGAAGGAGACCTTCAGGTGAGTCAAGACCCCAATCTTGACGAAGCGCCTGAGGTCCTCTCTGAAACATAATACACAGCACGGTCACGGAACAGCGGTGGTTTAAAGACGACAAAATCTACGTGCCACAACGACACACTCCGTACCTGAACAGGTAGTCTCTGTCCTTATGTCTGCAGCCAAAGAAGAGCCACATTGCTCCAAAATTTCCATTTGGGTGTTGTTCTTGGAGCTTCTCTCTAAGGCAAAAAAGGAAATGTTGAGCGAATGAGCAGAGGAACACATATCTCATCAGGAAATACCACCACAAACAGGTCTGTAAGATCCATCTTCAGACTGTTCGATGTGACTCACCTCAAATATCAGCATTTGCTATGTCTGGATATCATCTGGGTTTTATGCTACAGCACTGAGGACTGATCCCGGGCTCTTGCTCACACTAAGCAGAGGTTCTATGCAGATGACACAGCAGCCCTCTTTTAGACAGTGACTTTCTCTCAAAAGTCCACATGCTAAAGGCTTGGTTCTGAGAGAGGACCAAGCATGTGGTAGAATGCTTAAGAGGTAGAGCATATCGGGCAGCCTCTGGTTAGCCAGGGATGGGACCCCAGAGGAGGTCATGGGGCCCTTGCCATGTCCTCTCTTTGGCTCCTGGCCATGAAGTGTGTGATTGCTTCAGCACACACTTCAGCACTGTGCTGTCTCAGCACAAGCCCTGACAGAGGAGTCAGCGGATAGGTGAAGGACTGGAGCTCCACGGCAGACCTTGTCAGGTCCCAGGAGACACAGTCTAGAGAGCTGACAGCAGTCTCACCGTCACCAGGCGGTGAGTCGGGGCCTGGAGAGCAGTGCTGGAGCAAGATGAGAGAAGACAGTCATCGACTCCATACATCACTCTTCCAGAATACCCTCCAGGCCCCTCTCCTCAGAGCTCTTGTGTCTGGGGCTCGCTTTAGACACCTGGTCCCAGTGTATCTGTGACACTACCTGACTCAGTCAGGAGAGGGAACAGCTGCCCCGCCAGAGCATGAAGGCGTGCCTTAAATTCGTCCCTAAGTGCACGTGCTACAATCCAGAGTGCAGAGGACAGAGTGACAACAAGGAGTGCTCCAGTCCAGAGGGAAGCTCCAGACCTGGAGCAGAGACTGACACACACTTTCCCCATGGTGACAAACCACTCCAGCCCCTGACTGACATTAGGTAAGAACTTTTTAAAGCACAAATTTCATGAGCAACACCCCATTACTCTAAAATGACCGAAGAACACCATGTGTGATGCTTCCACCCCGGTGACAAGGAGCACATCCCACCAGCCGCAGTGAACACACACCTGTGCTGGAGGAAGCCAATGAAGGGGGCCACGCCAGTGCCTGGACCCACCATTATGACGGGGGCTGAAGGGTCATCTGGTAAGTGGAAGGAATGTGTCGCTCGAGGAGAGATGGATATCTGCAATATTGAACAGCTTTGGTGAGTGGGGCGAAAACCTAGGCAAGCACGTGAGAGCACATAACAGATGTGAGGATGCAAGTGCTAGTTCCTCTCAGAGAAGCCTCACTAGGTTACACGGCAGTATCCGCCCTTACTAAAGCCATGAACACATCTGCTACACAGGAAGATGGAAGTTTGTTTTGCAAATACTTCCTTTTCTACTCATACCGAAAGTGTTTTTACTTAGCATACTTCTTTTCACTTCATGTGAGTTAAAAATGTGACCCAAGAAACAAGTGAATAGGAAGGCAGACAGAAGTGTAAAACACAAGCATCCCCCAAGGTAGGAAGTGTTGGAGCTGATGGCTGCGGGGCAGGGGGGGAAGAGTCACTTTCCTTTGCGTCTGTGACCACTGATGATGTCCCCGTGCCCAGTGGATGGCTCCACACTCATGAGCACATGCACAGCAGTAACTGAACAAAGTTAAAATAAATGAACGAATGAATGAATGAATGAATGAAGAAGACATGAGCTGGGATGGAGATGTGATTGGGGGTGTCCTGCGGGGAGCTGGAGTCAAGGGAGGGGAGTGGACATGATCAAGATACACCGCATACATGTAGGAAATAGTCAAAGAACAAATGTCGCCAAGCATTTTAAATGACGGACATGGTAAGATCGTACAACTACCCAGGTGGGACACAGGAATAGGCGACACCACTACACACCTCCCGCCCCCTGCCCCAGTCAAGACCAGTCACAGAAAACACATTCTGTTCTACAAATACGACGAGCAACAACAGACGGACAAATGCCTGCATGTTTAATGTGAGCACAGTGTTCTAGTCAGGTGAGAGCTGAGCTCCAGCAGAGCTGCGGTCACGTGATCCTAGTACCTTAGGAGCCAGGCCATCAGGACTGCCTGCATGCGAAGCCTCTGTGTTTGGCTGAAGAAATGGAGCCACCAGTGTGGCCAACCAGCCTGTGCACACCCCCTTCCGCAGCGAGGCCGCTGTGGTGTTAGACGGGTACTCTACGATGTTAAAGACGAAGTGAAGCTTGTCTGGATGGAGGAGGCCGGAGCTGCAGAGACACAGGCAAGTTCTGATGGCTCCATGGGGGGCTGTCACTGTGCCGGGGAAGTGGGCTTCAAGCCCCCTTGCCTCCCCACAGCGAGGGCTTTCAGGGAAGTTTCCGGTTCTAGCCACTCATCCTCACCATTTCAGCAAGGTCTGTGGAAAGTGAGATGCCCCAGGGCTCTTCCTTCCAGACTCCCCACTCGGTAGGTATTGATTTACTGCCATGTAAGGACAAGGGGCCAATGCACTGGGTATTGTTTATAAAGCGGACAAACTTGAAAGTGAAGAGCCCAGGACACACGCTCACCAACCTCATCCAGGTTGTATTATGAGAAATGGAGGGTGAGCTCTCCCACAAGCACACCCAGTGGCAGGAGCGGGGCGTTGGAAGGCCGGGCCAGCACTCGCCCATGTTCCATAGCTGAACCTCCATGCCAGCTCCGCAGCTGCCCAGGGAGTGAGACCTGAACTTACTGCTTCACAGGGGAAGACTAGATCGTCAGGCACAAGCTGTGACTTCCCAGGGCACAGAAGTCCTGGGCTCTTCAGATCCCTATGTGCCTCGCACTGTGCTCCACAAAGTAGCAGAGTGAGCAGCAACTGGCCTGCTCACTAGAGAGCTGGGAGTTCAGAGTCACAGGACTCAGGAACTGTTTATTATGTCAGTCAGTAGTCATACCTTGCACATGAGTATGGTCGAGGCTGGAGTTTGGGAAGGTGCTCTAAAAAATAAAAACAGGCAACTAAGACCCACTGAAACAGGAACAAAAGAAAATCCACGCCTATATTTACCTCTCACACTTAGAATATTCAAAATGACATGTTCTCATTTAAAATATTTTATAGTAAATGACCCAGTGATATACTGCTCACTCAACTCTAAAATCAGGATCCCTTTCGCCATGCTGGTCTCAGGGATGCAGACGCAAAAAACATAGCTGTAAGCGGCCTACAGTCAACAGACTCACTGCTTTCATGTGCTCACAGATCATCTGGAGCGACATGTCCCAGAGTTTGCAGATGGGAAATAAAATTAAAGTCTCAAAAATATCAAAGTCAGCTATTTTAGAAAACGTTTAGGAGCATAAGTACTTTTACTTCTTGCATTTATATACTTAATAAAAACCTACGCATCTGGTGAGAGACTTTCTCAGAAGCCCAGTGGCTTCAAGATGCACAGGGATGAACCATATTTGAATTATCTGCTTACGAATTTTGTAATTTTTATGAATAATACACTCTATTTTTAGTTTATTTGGGCAAAACTTCGAAACATTCCTTCTAGAATGGCTTAGTCTTAATGAAGATGGAAAACAAATTTTAATAAAGAGTTCATCTTACATTTTAGATGCGTTAATTTTTCTTTAAAAAATTGGAAAATGTCAATTTTGTAGGTCCCAATGACTCTCTCTGTGTGGCTTCTAACCTGGATTCTGGCCATGTACTAGCCTCTACCACCTCCATAATACTGCCAAGCTAGAAAGCACCAGCCAGCTGGCTTAGAGAGGATGGGGGAGACTACCCTCACCCAGTGAGGAACAGAAAGTAAGACAGGCCACTCCCTGCACAGGCCTCCAAACGCCCTCTGATGGCTTAACAGGAGGACTATACATGTGCATGTTAACATGCCCTGCGCCACTACAGGAAACAAAGGCAGGCAAGCAAGACAGGCTACAGGATCCCACGAGCGCTCACAGCCATCGGTCCAGGAAACAGTTCCAGCCCCTTGTGAGCCAGCTGCCAGGCTCTGGGAGTGTCGGCCTGTGCTACACAGACCCTCCTTCTCTTGAACACCTTGTTTCCGAATGCACCTGGATGGAAGTATTTCTGCATTCTACAGAGCACATGCTTCATTCAGTTACACCACACACGGATCAGCTGTGATGAAAATCATCCTTTCCCTCTGAATAGTCAGTCGGATAAAACTCAGCTAAATAACGTCACTCAAAAAACAAACAACTAGAAAAGATGCTAAATTCTAAGTAAAAAAATACTATTGGATAAATTAATAGAGAAAATGACAGTGACATTAATAGAAGGAAAAAAATGAAAAAAAATCAAAAAGTTTGAAAGAGGGCGGGACTCTGGCTTCCAGAGGGAGCTCAGCTGTCACTATAAGCAGTCACTCCCATTTAGATGTGGCCACACTGTGTCTGCATACAACCCACAGTGAGACACAAGCAGCCAGCCTCCTCTACGACGAGGAGGTTCACCTGACAGTGCGTGAAGACGGGCTGGCGCTTGGAGGGGACGACTCACCGACTCACCGACTCACCGACTCACCGAGCAGGAGGCTGAGAGGAGGGTGGCAGGACGGGAAGGAGAGGAGCAGGTCCAGCAGGCAGACACTGGCGTCGCGGATGCAGCGGCTGTAGTCAGCTGCCCCCTGTTTACTGCACAGCTCCTGCAGCCTCCGCTTCTCAGCAGCACTGCTGGTGCAGTCGACGAGGGCACGCAAAAACGCCTGAGGGAAGAGGCCGGCTATGAGCTACTCTGTGAGTTCCAGGCCAGCCAGCTACACAGTGAGGCCTGGCCTCAAACAAACGAACAAATAACTAAAAGATCTAAGAAATGGAAGAGAGGACGAGCTTAAACAGGAAAAAAACACTGCAAGGTTTTAAAGTATAACTCATTTAAAATAGCAATTTTACTCGGTCTGTCCGCTCAGACGATTCAAGTCCAGCACAGCTGTAGCTAGTCAAAGAATGTTTAGAAAAACATCAGCTGCATGCCTTTTCAACACAGTTCCTGATGCACTACTGACCTCTCGTGGCTCAGTCTATCAAAACTCCTCAAACATCACCAGATGCTGACAAACCATTTCCCACCCAGCAGTAGCCGAGCTGCTATTACAGCAGGTGTATTACAGCAGGTGATGAAGAGGGGGGAGAGCCCCGCACTCTCAGAAGCATCCTGTCATGGAGGAGCAGAAGGGGGGCTCTGTGCAGCAGGACAGCCCAGGCTGCCACCTGTTCCTGTGTAACAATGTCAGGTGAAGAGGCGGCTGAAGGAGACCCGTGTTCATGACATCAGAAAGACATCTGAACTCCGCATCTTTTATAGCTCCAGGGGCGGGTATCAGACTTATCTAAAAGTCTTAAACAGAGCTCTGTCCATCTTCTGAGTTACTCACAGAAGACAAGGAGAAATACCTTTTTAGGAACTGCTCGTATTTCCAGACACCAGGTGAGGATGAACTGCAGAGACAAGCCCTCGGGCACATGCTGGGGCACAGCAGCTCCTTGTAGGTGAGGCAGGAAGAGTCATGCCGGAGAAAAGACACAACCCACAAACAGAGTTTTAGAACATGCTTTGCAGTCACCAAAATCGACAGCTAGCTGAGACACTACAATGCTCCAAGTGTGATGACTTCTGGTAATGTTCAAACAGCAACTGGCAGAAATAAATATGCCAGGAAAAAAAAACTTCACAACAGTGTACGAATGATAAACTCAAAATGTACCAAATAAAATCAAATAATCTAAACAAAATGGAAATAGATGACGATGTTCCATTCAAATAAAAGTCACTTCAGTGGCTGGAGGGATGGCTCAGTTACTAAGCCTGCCAGCTGTTCTAGAGGACCTCAGTCAGTTCCCAGCATCCACATGCCTGCAACTCTACTTCCAGGGGATCCAGCACCCCTTTCTGGCCTCAACCAGGCACCAGCACAATGTGGTGTACACACACACACACACACACACACACACACACACACACACACACACACACACACACACTACAGACACAAAAGTAAAAATACCTCTTTTTGAAAAACAGGAACTGTAGGACCGATAAGTTCAAGATTATATGTAAGTAATATTAATATTTTAAGTAATAAAACAGCTTATTTTATGTACAGAAAAATTATTTCTACATACTAAAGGATTACTATGAGAGGTAAACATAACGGGAATTTTACATAAAGGCTCTAGGCTCCCTTCATGTCCACAAGTGTACATTACCGCACTACTCACTATACATAAGAATAGCATCAAGGCCCGACAGCACCAGAGTTTGCTTGTGGTTATCCGTGTCTGTGTGTGTGGCCACGCCCAGCATCCAGCCTACCTTTCTTCTTGGTGTCCGTCTTAATCTTCAAGAGGACACGGTGTGCTCGCTTATCAGCCAGCTGCAGCCTTTGAAGCAGGGTTTCTACCTCAGCATCGCTGTTTGGACAGATCACATTGAAGGAATCCCCAGGTTGATGGGGAAACTCGATTTTCTAGAGAAGGACCAAGGTGAAACTGAGTAAGCCCAGTCATCAAACAAACACACTTTCACTAGGAGTTACTCTAGAAAAGACCAAGGGCCAGTGTGCTGGGTGTGCAGGTGCACACCCTTGATCCCACCACTGGGGAGCCAGAGGCTGGCAGAGCTCTTGAACTCAGAGGCCAGCCTGGTCTTCAGAGGGCGGCACCATCTTAAAAACCAGAACCACCAAAACTATGCAAGGAGAGCAGAAAGCTCTAGCCAGCGGCTTTGCAGAGCACAGTCAGATTCCCAGGTCCACATAAATGCTGGCTGGGCAGGCGCCCACCTGTAAACCCAGCCTTGGACGGTGGAGACAGGGTATGCACACCCCACAGCCCACAACCAGCCATACTGGAGAGCTCTGGGTTTGACTGAGAGACACCGCTTCAGTGAATGAGATGGGAGAGTACTCCAGGAAAATTCCTAACGTTACCTTCCAGCCTTCACAGGCGTGCGTGCGTGCGTGTACACACACACACACACACACACACACACACACACACACACACACACACAAACACACACACACACTGCATTTAATAGATACATGGACTTTCTCATTAGTATAGACGAAACAGAAGGTGTGACGCCTGCCGTTTCTTTTCTATGCGGAAGCTCTTCTGAACTTCCACAGACAACCTGAAGTCCTCCGATTTTCTGAAAACCAGCCCACTTTATTTCTCGGGACGTTGTTCTTTAAGATAAAGGGCTGACTTAATGACTGCAGCATTCCTCAGAGTAAGCAGACGCAGATGGACCCACGGATGGGGTTCAAATGACCACAGACAGCTCCCTGACACCACAGACAAATGCTCTCTAGTATCACCTCTCTGGAGGAGGCTCCCGAATCTTTTCAGAGTCTCCAAAGAACCGGAAGTACTGCTCTGAGAAGTTGGCCCTTTCCTACTATATAGTCTGAACTTTATTTCCGCTCGCTGGCCGATCTTAAGTGACGGCCTCCCTCTGCTGGCCTGTCACAGGTCAAAGCGTCTGGACGCCACTGTTACGGTCAGGGCAGCAGCGCTGGGCTCTGATTGTCAGCACCAGTCATGTCTCACCTCACCTCTTCCCTCAAGTGGAAAGAGACCTGGAGAAAACGCCAGGCGTCCTGCCAGACACCTCCTCCTGGTGTAGGAACCCAGCACCCAAAGGGTCCGCACACCTTCATGATACGGCCATGCTGAGAACAAACTCCGCAACAACTTACTGAAATGTCCAATTCCAACAGCAGCGCGGTCTTTATGGCATCATCTGTAGTCAGCTGAACAGCTTTTGAAATTGGAACCTGAAAAACTGGATCCACCGAAGTCACAGATGCCGGGATTTCCTCCTTGAGAAACAAACGGAACGAAATATAACAAAATGCAACCTCCAGAACCACATTAAAAAGTCCAGGCATGGTGGCATGCATCTGTCATCCCAGCACCAAAGATCCCGAGACAGGCGGAGTGCTAGGACTGGCGGGCAGCCAGCCATGCCCAGAGGTGAGTACGCCTGACGGAGGAAGGGCGTTTATACTTGTAGTTACTTCAGAGGTATTTGGAACCAGTGGCCCTGTAAGGATAGCACAGGTCTTAGGAAATTACACAGAAACCTAATTTTTTGTGATATCTTCTAATTCCTCTAACTTGATTTTATTATATTTGCAAATAGAAAACATTTTAACAAGTGAAAGCCAACTAACTTTGAACAACTGGCCATATGGGAAAGCTGGGGGCAAGTCAGAGCTGGATGCTGGAGCCCCAGTTGGGGAATCTAGAATGTAACCCTCAGAAGAACCGCCACCACCATAGCTCAGCCCTCAGCTAGCTCTGTAGGAAGTGCTCAGCATTTTGAGGTCACAACCCTACCTCAGCTACCTCCCCTTTCAGTGCAGCCCAAATCCAGGGACTGTGACGATAAACCAGCCTGTGTCCCAATTCTAGACAGCCACTAAGAACCAGTCCTCTCAGCCTCCGCTGAGAACGTACCACAGCTCCGTTTCTCTTAGTGTTTAATCCTGCTCTTGCCCCTCTAGCCCCACACAACTGCCAAGAACATCTCACAGTCTGACTCCTGGGGACCAGTGACATTTAGTGCTAGAGCACTCTAAGCAGGCTGCTGAGACGGGGGTCTGAGCTGGCCACCCATCCGGGTGAGGAGACCCTCCCACTGCGAAGATGGAAGGCAGAGGTGCAGCACAGACCGCAAAGTGCAGAGTGGGGGAGTCCAACAACAAGAGCTGGGGGAGTGTGGACGGGACGGGGTGCTGAGGTTCTGTGCCACCGGGAGGGACGAACTCAGAGCACCCGAGAGAGGGTGTGAGCAGCTGCGGGCTCAGCCACTGAGAGTGAGGACAGAGCGGCACCGTGAAAGGCTACGTCAGAGACGGAGAAAGGACTTCTGCACAGCAGGCCACTCGGAACACAGAGATGGACCCTGCTTTTCTGGAGGGGTCAGAGGGTAAGTGCTGTCTTCTTTGGGGGCCTCTGGTGAGCATTCCCAATAACACAGCTGCAGGTGCTGCACAGATAACAGGCGCAGCCGCTGCAGGAACTGCAGTTACAGCTGGAGATGCTGCACTTGGTCCCCATGTGACGAACAAGCACAAGCCAGCACTCACATTATGAAGCACAGAGCGTGAAGTCATCTCTCACCTGGCCCAGAGACTCCTGAAGATGGACCTCCAAATATCCAGGGGGCAGAGCAGGAATACTCAGAGAGGCTTGTGAGAGTGGAGGAACTGAGCGGGCGAGCGAGGACTGAAGGTCTTCAATCACATCTCCCGTCTGACTCCTGTTTGTTTCATTTTGTTCCCAAACCTCAGCATCCCTTTCCCCCACATCCTCTAATCTCAGAAGTTCAACTTGTGACTGGATGTGTGACAATTCTGGCTCCCCAGCAGTGTTCAAGGGGGCGGCTGATGCCCGTGGGAGCGTGTCACTCATTTCTTCTTGTCCTCCGAGTGACTTAAAGTGCTTTGTGAGGGCAGCCCAGAGTCCAGCAATCCACGGCTCCACCACGAGCTCTAGACTGGTGTGTAATGAAAGGGAAAAAACCAAACGCTAAGGTGTCCATTTGAGCACAACAATGAAAGAACAGTAGTCCGTTCACTCAGCACAGTACTATATGTACTGTTAGATGCACTAAATAGACTATTCAAAAAAATACAAATAATTAATTTTCAAAAGCATAGCATTGTGTTGATTAGCACTGTACAACTGAACATGCACACAGAGCAAATGAGCTGAGATATGAAGCTATTTTGCCCTGATAATGGGAATCTAATTACCCTCATAGCTGGCCATCTTCATTTTAGGGAACTAACATTTTACAGGTCTGTTCAAACCTGGTGACACTAACAGAGCTTAGCAACACTCGTGTTACAAATGGTCACTGTATCAGTAGAAGGCACCATCTCATTCTGTCTATTGAATTTATTTATTTTTCTTTTATAGATATCACCAATAAATCATTCTCAATTAAAACTTAATGTCTGTGCCGGGCGGTGGTGGCGCACGCCTTTAATCCCAGCACTCGGGAGGCAGAGCCAGGTGGATCTCTGTGAGTTCGAGGCCAGCCTGGGCTACCAAGTGAGTCCCAGGAAAGGCGCAAAGCTACACAGAGAAACCCTGTCTCGAAAAACCAAAAAAAAAACAAACAAACAAACAAAAAAAAACTTAATGTCTGACTAAATAAGTTCCCTTCCCTATCTACCAATCTATGAATGTGTCTTTTAAAATGTTTTAATTAATTACTCTATCTATCTATCTATCTATCTAATATTTTTTTGAGATTTCTAGAAAGGCTAATCTCAGGGAAATAATTTATTTCCTTCCTTCTTTAACCATTCATTCATTCATTCCTAACTTGCAGAAGTCCAGTTAGGACTAACAAGCACAACACAGCCACAATGCTCCTGCCAGGCCAGCAGCAGCAGCAGCTCAAGAGAGGACACGGGTAAGACGGTATCAGACAGACCACTGAAGAAAATCAAATGGTCACTTTTCATCTCAACTGAAAGGCTGTGTCAAATCCTAACCACTGCAACAGGTGACTAGGAGGGTCCTCTCAGACCTCTGTCTTCTTAGGACTCAGAGTGTAGGTCCACTGTGTTCATTAGGAGTTCATGTACTATAGACTACATTTATCCTGAGAAGTCTTCACGCAAGCAAGTTCAACAGTAAGTTACATGTAAAGCATCACTCTTGTAACTGAGAAAGAGTAAGACAACGTGACCAGTAATTGTGAAGGGCGCTGACTCAGAGCCCACTGTGAAGAGGCATGGTCCTAGGCCATGAGCATCCCTCTGTCTGACTATGCCTGAACCTTCACAGTGCATCCTGCTATTTTCTATCTCGGGCACAGAAAGATGAGTGACGAAGGTTTTGGTCAAGTGGGGATGGAAGATTTCAACCCAGGCATGTAAGTGCAAGTGCATTCTCAACTTCAGCGTGGACGGACTTCAGACAAGAACGTCTTCGGCAAGGCACCTTTACTCTGGACACATAAAGCAGTTAGGCTGAACATTTTAGATGTACAAACTGCTGAAACATACTCAGAAATTTTAATACTTGATCAAATAAATAACCCAGAACCCTTCTCAGAGATCTATATGCAGTAGCACAAGAAATGAGCCTGCTAGATTGATACAAGCATTATCCTACAAGTAAGCATAGCTCACAAAGAAATAGTTCAAAATAAAGCCACAGAGTGAGTACGTAACATGGAAAATGTCAGAACTTGGTCAAAGTAGGAAAAACATGCAGCAGAGACAGGAACCTTTCCCAGCACTGCAGCTGAAGGAAATCATGGCGAGCTCGGGCACCATGCAGGAGGAAGCATGAGGAGTCTCTGCCACACTCAGAAAAGGAAGAATGAGAAGAGCAGGGCATTGCTGATGTCATTATTTTATAAGCAGGTTATTTACTAACACACTGACTGGAAATTCATTCAGTATTTTTACCTAATTGAAAACAAACACAAAAACAAAACAAACATGTGTACTATTGTCTGGCTACAATAATGATAGTTAAAGGCTAAACAGTAGACCGTGACAGGACAGTGATGAACTCCTGGAGAACATGTTACGAGGATGTGGAAGGCTGTGCACAGCCTCAAATACTGAGCTACAAAAACTAAGATGAAAAAAGGCTAATAGTGCACGCCATGAAAATGGTAAGAGACAGCCAAGACATGCCGTGGTCAGTGAGGCTCGGCCTGAGGGCTCCTTCCACCAGAGGACACGCTAACAGGGCCCTGTGTGCAGGGCAGAGAGAAGACACACAGGCAATACCAATGCTGCCAGAAACGCTCACTCTTACAAATACGTCCACACTGTGATGCAGGTCATAGTGCTGGATGCTCCTCTTTCCATTAATAGAAACTGGGGGTGGGGGTTGGGGACATGACAACACAGGCCCATCATGCTCCAGTCATCTGACCCAGGTTCTGGCCAAATGCTGAGCTTATAATGAACTCAGATGACTGACCATGCTAAGCCAAGCCAAACATCTCTTATTAGCTCACAACTTCCACCATGGTAAGCGTTAACTGAAAACAGACATGTACTGCTCTTACCCTACACAGTCGTCGGCATGTCCAGTGTCATAGAAATGCTGGGCTCCAAGCTCCTGAAGTCGTTTATCAATTATCTTCCCTCCATTGCAGAAGTATGTGTATTCTGAGTCACCCAAACCTAGAGAACCCAAAGAGATACTCAGTGCGTACAAAAGCTCAAAGATGTAACAGATGGAAAAATAAAATGTCTAAAAACTATCCCATACTCTTACATACACAGCAAGAAATAATGTATATATCCACACTTCCTTATTTTTTCAACAATGCTAAGTACGCAATGTTCCTCTGCTGTACACCATGAAAGCACCAGGTAGTAACAAAACAAATACTGGCTACTGGCCGAAGAAATACACATACTTAACATTTCTGTCTCCATGAGTTAATGTAACAATGCAAGGGTCTGAAGACACAAGTCAAGCTGGCTTTGAAACCCAGTATGTACTTCACACTTTCCCAACCCTGAACCCACCGCCATGTTTGTTCAGAAGGCTCCTCTGGAACACAGCCGCATCTGCTTGCTTACATGGCATGGTGGTTTTGAATCCATAACAGCCATGCCCAGCAGCCATGAGAGACCATGTAACCCACAAAGCCTCAAATACCTATCTGCCCAACAGTATTTGCCACGTCTACCTGCACACCCAGGTGCACCGGCAAGACAAGCAGAGGCTGTTCATGTTTCTGTCATGCAATTTAAAGAACTGGCCCAGCCTCAAACGCTGAGAAAGCTAATGCTTCGCATCTGCTTGAAATTTCAAAACTGAAACTTGAATTCTCAGTTTAACTATCCCCATGCCTCCTCCCTGTAACTGAATGAGCATGTGATGGGTCCACATATGGGTCCAGCCCAACACCGACTAGAGTGGCTGGATTAGGCTTCGGTACGATCCTTGTAGAAAAACTTCAAGAAAATCTGAAGCACTGCTTACATCTTTTCTCAAACACGTGCAGCATATACCAGATGGCAGCTGGGGTTAGAATGGACTATCTAAGCAGCATAGGCTAAATGTGCTAGACACTCTCCCAAGCATATTCTTCAGAGATGAATCACACAGACCACAGGCCAGGAATAGGGACCCACACTGTCTCTTTCACGTCACAGTTTTCTATGCTGGCCCTTCTATTTTTAAAATTTACACACACACACACACACACACACACACACACACACACACACACACACGCATGCACGTGCACATACCATGGTATAACGTGCAGGTTAGAGGGTAACTTGCAGGACGCTGTCATGTGGGTCTTGAAGACTGAACTCAGGCCATCAGGCTCGGTGGCAAGCTGCTTTTACCTGCTGAGCTGTCTTGGTGGCCCCAGGCTGGCCCTTCTGATCCTCACCATAACCTGTTTGAGTTATGCTTTACAAAGCCCTAGGCCATTTTCTTAACATGTGATCAAGTAAATGACCATCGGCAAAGAGCTATTACTATGGACAACAGAGTCCCACCTCTGAATATCAGAGTCACTGCTAGCAGACCAACTGAATATAAAGGAATTATTAAGACTCCCGAGCTGGTTCCAATGGACTAAGACTGAAAACCACAATTCTGAAGTTATGTTCTTAGGGAAACATAACTTTGTTTTAGTGACCTGCTGTTATCTTAAACAATTAAATATTCAAGAATTCTGTTCTAGTAGGTTTGAAGTGAGGCCTGGACACTAATATTCTGAAAATGTTCCCTGGATACTCGAGAGCTTCTGCAGAGTGCTGAGGGTATAGCTGAGTGTAAAGTGCTCCCCTAGGATGTAAGGCCCTGGGCTTGATATCCAGATACACTGAGGACAGGAGGAAGGGAGGACCAGAGCATTGCTTTGGAGTATAAACTGGACAATCATTGACATGTCTATATTTTATGTAGATAGATTTATGTAAAAATAAGACATTATATTTCATGATTTGGAAAGATAAATTCATATATCAAAGTAATAACTGCATATATTAAAAACAAAATACAGTCCATTACCCAATAATCCATACCGCAGGTGAGCAAAGAAGTCTGTGGGTAGTGTCTTGTCACGTATTTCTTTCACAAACTTGAGGGCTGTGTCAGGGGGATCACCAGTACCCGTGGTGGATACAACCATTACCAGAGGAGCAGTTTCAGTTTTCAGATCATACTACAAAACAAGGAGAGCAAATCAGGACGGAGGATTGCATGAATTTGTGAATTAACACATCAGCAAGAGCAAGACAAAGCAAACGGAAGCCATCAGCCCCATTTCCTGTCTTGCACGCTTCTTTTAATTTCCTTCTTGCCAAGTTATTGTAACAAACACTAGTGACCAGTGCAAAGAACACTGCCTTTTTAGTTCATTTTTGCTGATGTTCCCCAGGAGGCTAGCAGAGTTGAACACATCTTTCCTCTATGTGCTTCACTAAGAAAAGGTCTGGGGTTCCCCCTATACTGCCACTGATTCTTTAGTTAGGAAAACGTGAGAGCAAACAGGCTCATCAGGAGGACAGGCAAGAAGCAAGAGAAGCAAGGCAGGAAAATCAGTACGAGAATATGTGTGCATGTGCGCGCGTGTGTATGCATATATATGAAAGTAAAAAGAGCAAAGGGGTTTTATGGGGTCGTGGTGAGTCAGAAGCAAAGAGGACAGACACTGAGTACCAGGGTTAAGTCAGAACAGGGCCAGGTGTGGTGGTGCACACCTTTAGTTCCATTATTTAAGAGGCAGAGGCAGGCGGCTCTCTATGAATTCCAGTTCAGGCTGGTCTACCGGGTGACCTCCAGGTGAGCCAATGCTGCACAGTGAGTCCTGCCTCAACAAAAAAACCTTTTAAAAAATGCAGAACAGGAGCAACACAGGATATCCCAGTGAAGACAGACTGCAGTGCAAGGCGCAGCTCTGGAATCTTCATCAAATTTGAACACAGTCATGTGTATTACAAATGAAACAGAGGCAATGGTCCACAGATGAACGGAGGATTATTTTAAAGGCAAAAATTAAGTGCTGCCCTTTGCTACCAGCTGCCTGTCAAAACCAACGCATTTCCTTCATGTTTGGAATACTATGAAAGGCATATGGATATGGTCCATGCTAATTCTTGCTAGGTTTCTTTTTCTACTGCTCATGAACATAACCTAGTTTAGGTTCAAAGAATGCACTGTACATTTTTTTTTTTTTTGACAGAGTCTCATTCATTTTAGGCTGGCCTTAAAATCACTATACATCCAAGGCTGGTTTTGAACTTCTGATCCTCCTGGTTCTATGTACCTACTGGACTATAGGTGTATGCCACTACACCCAGATGATATGCAGGGCTAAGGATCAAACCCAAGACTTTGTGCATGCTAGCAAGCATTCTATGAACTGAACTATACCCCCAACCCTATTTACTTTTTTGTGGCTCCTGATTTAACGCAGAGCCTACCACTCAGCTACAACCAGCCTGCTCTTTCTTTTCCATGCCTATGGCTAAGGACTTGGGATAACTTTCTACCAGGCTGTTGAATGCTCACAAGGCAGTATGAACAGGACTACTGTGAAGTAGGCAACAGAGGGCTCTCCTTTCCACGTAGATCATGCTCAACTGGAGAAACTGCTCAGCCAGGGGAGCAAACAGCCCGGTTCGAATGGCACTAAAAGAAAAACCGCCATTCACCTTCCTGCCAAACAGATGCCGACCCAGCTAGTGCTGTCAACCGCAAGGCCCAATAGGGGCTAGTTTTATGACCACATCTGCCTGTTATTACAGGTTCAGGGTATAGTCCAGCATGAGCACCGTGGTATGTTTACTTTGAGTTACTGCTGAGGTGCATAAAGGGGATGTCTCCTTTCATAAGCATAATTCGTAATTCACCATGCCTCAGATGGTCTAGCCTTCTGAAACTGTGGTTTGTGAAAGGCCAGGGGAGACTAAACTGGAGAGAGAGGACACTGTTCAGATAGCTTCTGAGGTACTGAAGTCAATCTGAGGGCTAGGAGCCAGCTCAAGCATTTAGCTGCATAATGTTTTATCATGTGAACTACCTTGAACAGGAGTATATGCTGGATCCCTTAGAATGAGAACAGGGCACAGAATGGTCAAATGCTTATCAACTCTGGCTAATGTAGGAACTTCTCAGAGAAATTGTAACTACACAGACTAGCAGTCCCCGACTTGAGCAGGCTTACTGGATCCCAAAGCCACTCCTGTAAATTCCAGTTCATGGAGGAAGCCCAGTGGCCTTTCATTTGGAGGAACTCTACAATGAATTACAAGGGCTTTATAGGGAATCCGAAGGGACACCGAGTTTATAGGGTGAAAAAACACAACTGTGCAAGAAGTCATACAAAAACATCATATTTGTTCTCACAGCTGTCTGAGATAAATGAAGCACACATCACTGTTACCATTTACAGGTAGATAGTGTCTGTGTCAGTTTCTAAGATTTTTTTTCTAACCTAATTCAAATATACACCTCTACATTTAATCTCAACGAGTTGGCAGGATGATCTCAAGTTCAAGTTTTGCCTGGGCTACAGTGTGAGTTCAAGGCTGGCTTAGGTGAGCCCCCGTAATAACAAAAAAAAAAAGTGGAGAGGGATGGATATAGAGCTTCATTTCACAAGCAACCATTTCATAGCCCAAGGTGCAGGCGAACCCGCAGGAACAGCTGCCCTTACCTTCTCCGACTCGCTAACACAGTGAAGATCTGCAGAAAACCCATGCGACACAGCCTGCTCCCTTATTTCCTCTGCTATGGCCTTCGCCTGTCCTCGCTGTGTAGCATACAGCAACAGAAACCTTCTCATCACCTCAGGCCATCGGCTGCAGCCCTAACAGTGAGATTGAAAAGGGACAAAGGGGAGAAGGGGGTGCTGTTCAATGAAGCAGGTAACCCACGGGTATTAATTTCACAGCGATCTTTAAACTTGCTTCTTAGCACTGACTTTAAGTGTGAGAGAATTAAGACAGGAAGCATACAGAAGTGAGATTCTTAATCCCATTGCTCAGAAATCCACTCCCGATTTCCAGCTGCGTTTGGGTCTTGCAAGTGCCTTTCAGAGGTGCATACTTGTAGGAGGGTGATCTGACCCTCAACTCTGCTCATTTGTATGCAGGATTAGGCTTGCAAAACTGCATGATGAGGGATGATAAGGTGAAGGGCCCGAGCAAAGCTCAAACACAGTGTCACTTACCTTTAAAGGTCTTTGTTTCTTCCTTTTTAAAAACTGTAAGTGTACAACATTCCCCTAAAATTGGGGAATTCCTGTTTCCTGCTGGAGCCTATTCTAAGTACTGACCGTCCTCAGAGTCCCCACCGTTACATTAAATCAGTAATTAGTGTACATGGACTTGCACACTGGGACGGTATTTCTTTTGTTCTTTTTATTATTATTAAGAAATTTTCTGTTCATTTTACATATCAACCACAGATGCCCCTCTCCTCCCTCCCCCCCCCCCCCCCAGCCTTCCCCTCCAATCCACCCCTCATTCCCACCTCCTCCAAGGCAAGGACTCCCATTGGGAGTCAGCAGAGCCTGGCACATTCAGCTGAGGCAGGTCCAAGCCCCTCCTCCCTGAATCAAGGCTGTGTAAGGAGTCCCACCATAGGCACTGGGCTCCAAAAGGCAGGCTCATGCACCAGGGATAGATCCCGATCCACTGCCGGGGGCCCTTAAACAGGTCAAGCTAAACAACTGCAGAGACGGTATTTCTAAGCCACGCACCACCTCGGAGATAACCAAGAGTAAAATGGGGTTCCATGCACCTCCGCTCTATCTAGTGGCTAACCCTGAAAAGTTGTCAAGGTGCAGGAAACTTGACTTTGGGTGAGTGAAGCCATTACAGTTGGATGTTCTTGCGGCTTATCAGCGGGCGAACCAGGACACGAAAACTTGCAGGTTGACAATGAAGCATTGCTAAGGACCAGACAACAGCTGGGATACAGAGTTGACAGGACCCCTGGGTGACATGCAACGCGACACGTGCGGGACTTGGAGAGGGAAAAGGTGGCCAAGAAGCCTCCTCCCCACAGCACCCTGTCAGCCCTCCCGCGGCCCCGGAGACCCAGACGCGTCACCCCCACCACGCAGGCGCCAGTCCCAGCTCCCTGTCGGTCCCCGCCACCCCCGGGCCGCGTACCCCGGAGCCGCCACCTCCTGCGCGCGACACGGCTCTTCCCCCAGCAGGCCACCGCCTGGGAACACCGCGCACGCGCGCACAGACTCCTACCGCGCATGCTCCTCACGCACCGCCAATAGAAACGGCCGGCGGACCTGGGCCAATCGCTGAGCGCCGGATGTGGGCGGAGCCTTAGTGCCGCGCGCGTGCGTCGGGACGTCCTCCAGGTTAAGGGCGCTGTTAAGTGTGCGGTCGTTCGCCGTGCTCGGAAGCTCCGCGTCGGTCCGGGCGCGGCTCGGACCCGCCGCTCGGTAAGTTCCATGGGGCGAGGTTCCCCCGGCTCTCCGGTCACGGTCGCCGCCAGCAGTCTCCCCGCATACTCGCGCTCCCGCGTGCTCCGTGGGCTCCGGTCTGGCCGCGCGGCTCCTGCCTCTGCGGTTGCCTCTGCTCCGTTTGCTTTCCGGGGATTGTTTGAACCTGTGCGGAGCCGCAGCCCCAGCCGCCTCCTCCCTCCCTGGCTTCTCAGCGCCTGTTACCACCACGCTTTGCCCGGCTGGTACCCCAAGTTTGAATTTTGCCGCCAGCTTCTCCCCTCTCTTAAAATATATATAGATGGACTTTTCCCTCCGCCAACACGCGAGCCTCGAGATTTAGAGGTAGAATTTGAATTCCTCCTCTTTCTTTGGCTCGCAGCATAACTGGGCACGGCAGGTTCCCTGGGTTGCAGTTTCATGACTGGGAAAGCGTCGCTCAAACGAATTACAGTAAGCTAGTCCATAGATAGGACTTACAGCAGGGCCTGGGCAGCGACCGTGGTTATGATTAGGATAGTGAGGCCACAGGAAGTCAGCCCTAGGATGCAACAGTGCACCTGATGATCCTCAAGAACTCCAGAGGGGCTCCATTAAAGTGTCCACGGGCCACAGAAAAGAATTTCGGGATGAGCCAGAATGAAGCAAAGTCAATGAGTTCATTGATGAAACAGAAAGACAGGATCTCTTGAAGACTGTTAGGAGACACTTGGGCCTGAAAGCCCCAGCAAGGAACAATGTATGTGATTGTGGGGGTTTGGGGACTATTTAATCAGCAACCAACTTTACATATTAAGGGAGGAGTGTGTTGGTATACTCCCTTTTATCCATAGAACTTGGTCCTTGAAGAGGAAACCTTTGTGTAGGTACATTGCGTGGCCTGGAGAAGAGCATGCTACTAGATGTAAAATATTAATCAGAGAGATCCTTAGTACACATACGACACAAGAATTTAAGGCATAATTCATTTTTTTAAAAAAAAATCTTTGTGACACTGCCAGAAAGAGGTGTGCAGGTCTTTTGCAGGAAGCCTGGCTAGTTATGGAGAAATTGTTGGGTGTCAGCCAATTAGGTATGGAGGTCAGGACCAGGAGAAGGGGTGGGGGCTTCCCAAGTCTATTTCCTGGCTCATAGAAACCTTGCTTTTCTGTTTTTTAATATATATATTTAGCATTGTGTTTTAGCGTTGTCATGGGATACTCATTCCTAGTTTTGTAATGTTGATGTTAAATCCTCTTTCTCAATATATAATTGACCATTTTTTTTATTTTGTTTTTATGCTAAATCAAGAGCTGTGAATCTGATGGCATGGCGTTGATCACCCTGCGGAGAAACTTTTGTCATATGTCTGACTTTTGGATACCTGGAGCTGTGGCTGCTTTGAAAATTCACCCTGCCAATCACATCCAAAGAATAGTCAAAGATCGTCTCCGTGTTTGGTTCTGTTCCCTACAACCTCAACTGTTGAGGGTCAGATTCCATCATTCCTACTGTAAAAACTTCCACTCAGAAAATGGAAATGACCTTCATCCAGCTGCTGAGCCCTGGTTCTCTCAAGTACACGGATGGAACCAGCCGGAACAAGGTCTTGAACACGAGGATGAAGAGACACTTTACAGGAGGAGACTAAACAGCTTCCTCTCCCCGGAAGAAGTGCTGAGTTTCCTAAGTACACTGGACACTCTGCCTGTCTCTTTGGCGTCAGCAGCCTTACACAGGATTTGTGAGGTGGGGAAAAGAGATGGAGAGCCAAGGCTGCCGCAAGGAATACTAGAAAACAGCAGCTTCCGAGCTTTATGCCTTCAGTGTGAGCGGGACCCCTCCCATCTGACCAATGCTGGTTTGGTGACGGCTTTGCAGTCTCTGGTTATGGTGCCTATGGATCCTCAAAGTAGCCTGATGCTGAGCCTCATGGCAGAATGCCAGAGCCGTCTCCGGAGAGGCGGCCTGGAAGCCCACCATCTTTGTCTTCTTGGGGAGACTCTGGTTAGATTTCAAGGTTCAGGCTGTGAGACACTGGAACTGGTTATCTGTCAACTGCAAAGTCAAAATTTGGAAACATTTGCCCCAGAGGATATTGTGGCCATTTATAGAATTCTGCAGGCGTGCCCTGAAAAGGTGGACAAACACCAGACATTTTTAAACTCAGTAAACAGCTTTGCCCTTTCAGTAGTTTCCTACCTGAGTCCTAAATCCGTCAGCCATGTGCTCACTGCCTTGGTGGCTCTTGACCAGACTCACGCACTGCCACTGGTTATAAAATTGGGCAAGTGTGCCGTGAGATACATTCCTCGTTTTACTAATGAAGAGCTCAGGAAGGTCTTGGAGGCATTTGTGTATTTTGGACACAGCGACAGGTTTTTCACGGAGGCGTTAGAGCAGCACGTAGCTGCCCTGTGCCTCTCCTTGGACCCTGAGGTCACCAGCACCGTGATGGAGTACTGCAGTAGAAAGCGGATTCTTTCCAAGCCCATTCTCGACGCAGTTGCAGAGACTTTTGTCTTCCAGTCAGAAAAATTTTCGCCTAGTCAGATTTCCGAATTAATCGAACCATTTGGGAAACTAAATTATTTGCCACCGAATGCCCCTGTTCTATTTAGGAAGCTAGAAAGTGTGCTGTTTGCTCATTTCCACCATTTTCCACCAAAAATGCTATTGAGGCTTCTTCACTCATGTTCGCTGATTGAGTGCCATCCAGTCAATTTTATGTCAAAAATATTCAGCCCCTTTTTCCTTCAACGGCTGCAAGGTGAGGTGGTTAAAAAATTAACCATTGTAACTTGGGATGTACTTGGGTACTGTGTACATTGACTCATAATTCTAGTGTCATTTAAAAGTGCGTTCCTTAGGAGCAAATGAATTGTTTTATGATCATAAGCCCTCATTTTGCATTCCAGAATTCAAACTCAGTTTATTTTTTCAGGTAAAGAGTCATATTTGGACAGAGTGAGCCTGGCTCAGCTGACCCAGCTTTTCATGACCTCGGTCCTAGAGTGTGCGTTCTATAAGGTGAGAGTACAGACATGGGTGGTGTGGCTTTATGTCCCCCAGGGATGCTTATCTTTTGTTCTCTCTGAATCTTTAATTTCCTTTGATTTTGGTCTCAAACAGCAGAATCTTGACTTGAGCTGGAATGGTCCCATGTATGGCCTTGTCTTTGGAAAATGTCCCCTTTCCGTGTTCTTGTCTCAGCCAATGGGTTTCCTGCCACGTAGTTCCGTAGATCTCATCAAACGTGAGAGGTTCACTACTCCAGACTCCCCGGCAGGCTCTCACCCTCCAGGTAGCTGTTGTATGGAGTGTCAGTCTTTGGACCGAACAGACACAGGATCATTCCTGAGAGTCTTCTTGAGCCATACCCACACAGCGCCGTCCTCATAACAAACACACCATGTATAGAACCAGAAATCGTGTCCCCAGGCCTGGCTGTCACATCTGCCCCTCTACACTCCGCACAGCTAAGAGCAACTGATTCCAAGAATAAAGTTTATGACTAGAAATCACGACTCTGGTCTTTGAAGTTGCTTGGGTTGCTCTAATGTCTGTGGGATGGAAGTTCCCTCCACCTTTCCTGCCCGTGAAAGAGTGGCATGAGCTGCAGTTTCTCGGCCCAGATTTAGGTAAACAAGTGTGTGCCCCGCCTGCTGTTTTCCATTTGAAGTGATGGGGCGGACCAAAGGAAGCACAGTTTGTCTTTCTTTTTTTTTCTTTCATTTTTCTTTATTAAGAAATTTTCTACTCACTCCACATACTATCCACAGAACCCCCCTCCACCCTTCTTCCACCCCCAGCCCTCTTTCCCAAGCCACCCTGCATCCCCACATCCCCCAATCGAGGTCTCCCATGGGGAGTAATCACAGTTTGTCTTTCTGTCCAGCATCCTGCAGCCATTCCTGAGTCCTGGATACAGAGCTTAAGCCATGCTTTTGATTTTTGTGGCCTTTGCCATCCACTTTCAAAGTATTCCAGTTTTCTTGGTTTGTCTCTGTAACAACGCTATAGTAAACCTTCTCCAATGGCTTACCATCCTAGACGCTTTTAAAAACCACTGAACTCAAAAGCGGGGTTCCTGAGTGCGTTTTGGATGAAGGCTGACATTTCCCCCTAGCAGGGATAGATGTCCTCTTTATGGACAGTAAATGAAAGTGACAACCACGACTGTGATGTGGTCTCAGCAGCAGGGCTGTTGGTCCTTTGAATCCTTCTCATTTCTCTCCTGAGAAGGGCTGCCACGTGCCACGTTTAAATTTTGTTCTAAGGAGCAGTGATGGTGTTGAGTATGTTTTCAGATGTTTATTGTTCATTTGTATTTTCTACAAGTTGTCTTTCAGTGTGAGACGAGTTAACAGGAATATCGTATGTGTTTTCTTTTTGTCTTTAATTTTTATTATTTTTGAAAACAATATTGATGATTTTGCTGTGCAGAAGTTTTTGAAGTTTTTGTAGACATATTTCTTTGTGACTTTTGAGTTTCTTACTCTTAAGAATACCTCATTTCTGTTATGTCACACAGTTGACTGACTTCTAAAATGACGTTTCCTATCCTAACATACTTATAATTTAGGTATTTGTATGTGTGCTGTAATTTTAAAAATTAAGTTGTTTGCGTTGGAATCCGTACATACTTGGCCACCCACGGTATGTACCAGCAGTCTCCTGTGTGCACGTATGTGTGCGGTGAGCACATTGAACAGGGTGAGCAGGATGCATGTGTCCACTGTGGCCATCTCTACCACCGGGACTTGTATTCTGCCATGGACGATAAGAGAGAGGCTAACTTGCTTTCCAGATG